TACTGTGTACCAGATATGCATAGGTCTGCGTTTCTGTAATGGTCCTAACGAGCAGAGTTAACAATGGCTGGCTTCTCAAGACTGGCCAGTGGATAATAGTCAAACACAAATCAGATTCTGGAGCATCATGTGATCATCTGAAATTATTGACTAGTTCATCTAATCAGCTCACACTTACGTTCTACAGTAGAATTGTGTTCTATATAATGCATTTTCATATTCATGAATTGTATTGAATCATGCTAATAGTATAACAAAACGTTTCCATGACATTTCAGCAAATGTGTGCAACATCCAAACCGAGAAAAGAACTACAGTAATTCATTTCTTGAGCAGAACAGATTCTGTGGTTTGTTGGTGACATTATGCTGTACAGATACAAGTTAATTTGGAGATTAGAGTTGGAGGGTTAAGTTATGATGATATTTGGTTAGAAGCAGAGTAGGTGAGAGCATGCAAATTGAATCAGCATCTTTACAGGTCCATCATACATACTTCATGCATTTGGGATATTCAGGGGAAAAAAAAGTCTGATCTAAAGTAATAAAAGGATATCACGATTGATAACTAAACTTTATTCATAAATTTCAAGTTAATGAATCGAAATATCAATTGTAATTAGGATCCCAATCGAAATAGAAATAGGAAATCTATGGCATTAATTCTTCAGTTAGCTTCCAAATAGTTTTAGGATTTACTTTGTGTGAGTTAGATTATACAATTCTTATATACTGTAGTGTTTTTTTTTTTTTTTAAATGAGAAATTTTTTCTCTTATTATTATAGTCTGAGATATCTAGGATTTTTTATTTTTATGATACTCTTTTGTTGGGCCCATTCTTCTAAGTTTCATTCCGATGACTTGTGTAGACACTAACAAATGTCAGAGGAGGAGTAGTGATTATTTTACATACAAGAGACGGTTGACATGTAATTGGTTGATTTCAACTCTCCATCTTATATAGTAATGAAAATTTTTGTTCTCGAAAGAAATAATTGAAAATAGATGAATCTCAATGAAGTGATGACCACAAAAGAAACTACGACTTGTAGAAATTAAAAGAGAAGTCAAAGAAACTTCTTGATATTGCCACCCCTTTAATTGGTAAGCTTCTTGAGCACCATTATCAATTACCTTTCTCCAAGAATAGGTAATGTTTGAATTTGGATCAGAGTTTTCATTCCCTTGAGCCTGCACTTGTGGATCTGCTAGGAGCCCGGGATGACCTAAAGAAGCAAGTTGATCGAGTAGAGCCGTTGGGATTGACCTGCACAAAATTGATATTGTACGTGTTCGTTTGTTTTCATAAGCTGACTAAAATTCGTACACGATCTTACAAATATGGAAACTGTTCAACAGTTTTAACATTAGTATTCCTTCGGTTTGAAAAAATAGTTCACATTAAATTTTTAAATTTGTAGTAAATGTGTACTATTTTCTCGGGACGAGAAGTACTAAATTTTCGCATTTGCTCCCTGAAACTTCACAAATGTAGTGCTAAGTGCTTCAACAACGAAGTATGTATATTGGGTAGGGGAGTTAACTTTTCTTTCGGGCCTCGTTCTACACTGCATTGATCATTAAGCTGAACTGCTCTAATCTCCAAAGATTTTAGTCATGCATTAATTGATCCCTTCATTAAAACGTTTTTTAACTCCAAAACACACTCATCCGCTTTTAGCGAGAGTTTATGCCTGAGATGGACAGTACTTAGCATTTTAGCAACAGCCAAGAAACTAATTAACCCTTGGCTTTTCATTCTATTGAGATAATCCCTTGCATAAACTGAGTCGATATACCTCAAACCATACACAAACTTCAAACTTAATCACAGAAAAAGTAGAAGTCAAGTAACTAATAATGTTCCTACAAGACATACAAATTAGTCAACACCACATTTTTGGATCAAGTTGTGGCTTTAAAACTGTTTCAATGAAATACTTCCTCCGGTGACCCTTTTGGTTATTAATTTGCATCTTATGAATAGAATCGGAGAGACTACAACATTATTGACTACATAATACAAGAAAAAAGAAAGGGAAAACAAGCAAAAAAAGGTAAAATTCTCAACGAACTACAACACTACTAGTAGCTATACAGCGAGGAAAATCGTGACAACAAATTGAATATTATACAATTGAACAATCAAAGATGCAATTTATGTATTACTCGATACTTTTTAGATACAATACGTAAGAGATAGAACCTAAAACAATCAATATTATACTAAAAAAAAATTCCCTTCAATAATACGTACTTTGGAATGAGTTGACAAATAATGTAGGTAGATTCTCAAATCATGAATCTAAACAGGAAGAACCTTTTGGCTACTTCTCCCTTGAGAATTCATATTAACCAGCTGGTCCTCTCTTTCTCTGCATGCTTCTCGTTGCTGTTGACAACGCTGGTAACATGCATATAGCATTGCAATCCATAACGCTATCAAGACGAAAACCATGAACAACCACAAAAAGGTAACAATGGTCTCCATCTTCAATATTCTTTAATTAATTTCTCTGTTTTTCCCTTTTCTCCGGCCTTTTGTTGGTGCAATAGAACTGTGTAGCAAGGAGGCTATGCAATTAGATGGTGTCAAAAAACCTAATTTTCGGTCCTTATATATACAGAGTTCTTAAGCCTTGACCAATAAGGAAAGTGAATAAATTTCCTTAATCAAAGATGTAGTACTATAGTTACTAAAATTGATGTCCAACCAAATCATTTAATTCATAAAGTGGAAATTAACTTCTAAATTGTAGTCATAGCGGATATGAAATTTAAAAATTTCCATGCTTTGTCACATACATACATTAATATTGTCTGTTTTTTTTTTTTTTGATTTCATAAAAAAATAGTAATTTAAATAATCTCATCTCGAGGATTTACCCCAAAAAAAAGGAGCTTCCTTTTTTCTTTTTTTTTGAAAGGTAAAAAAAAAGGAAAAATAAAAAAAAGGGCGCTTCCCTTGGAGAAGAGAAACCTGATTCAGCGATATGGTTAACTTCCCTACCATTCTTCATTAGGCCTTTGATAAGTTCATTTGTCGGGCTCACCATTTTTTGACAGTATATACACAGGCTTAGCCCGGCTACCACAGACCAATATAAAGGGAGCCCAATATTCCACGGCCGGCTAAAGAGTCATTTTCTCGCAAAATAAATGGATCGCATGATACGTTACCTAATCGCATTTTGTATTTGATTTAAGAAATTGAACAATCTGACAGCATAGATTGATTATAGAAGTATAGAACCATTAAAATCGATTGCATTTTGATGATTTGAACTTTGAAGGGATTTTTTTACTCAATAAAATCATATTCATCATTGGATGAACGGTAGTACCATATAAATGTTGTACATGGACTAAACAAATCACTTGGACACAAGCTAGTAATTCCATTGTATGCGTATTCCTTTCTCCAAATTTTCCTCTTGATATTATTCTACAATATATAAGCGGGAATAACATGTGCATGATTATCTGCACTTGAGATTTTGTTTTCTTGGCATGCGTATTGTTTGCGTGAAAATTATGTACCTGAAATCGTAGAAAAAAAAGGAACATGAATTACCCAAAACACAATTAAATCAGACGATTCATGATTGTGATTGAGTTCGAACCAGCTTCGGACCAGAATTGAGAACTTAGGGTTATTGGCTTTAGTTTGAGAAAGACAGGTAGAGACTTAGAGAAAGTGGGAAAAAGCCAAAGAAACGGCGTTTGACTCATAAAGTAGAAAATCCTAGCGCCGGCAAGTTATAGATGGTACCGATTACACGCTATTACATAGAAGAGAATGATAGGACGGACGTGCAAAGGGTAATCCGACATACATAAGTATTAGAACACCTATTACAACATAACCGCATTCTTTGGAGTAGAAAACAGTGCACACCTACCTGATTCTATGTAGGAGAAAAATGCAAACAACTCTATTGCTAAGCTAGGGGCTAAGCAAGTATGACAGAACATGACGAACTACTATAAAGAAGGTAAAAACATGATAAACGGTAAAAGAAATAATAAAGAACAAGGAAAACCAGTTGTATGGTTGATCGGTGATGATTTTCTCCTCATGGCTGCCTCTATTTATAGTGCTTGGGCGAAACTCTTGTTGTCCTATGATTCCTTGGAGAAAAGGTAGCTTAACATAGTCAATTTTTTTGTAAATAGGATACTATTCCCGCAGCAGTCTCCCAATCGGTTGATGACTCTTCTCACAATTAACTCTTAATTTTGTAATGGAATCCTTTCCCAAACATATCTCTTTAACTACTAGTAATTTCTCTTATTAAAAGAAACAAGAAATAAGGAGGAATCTTCCTTAATTGTCAATTAATCATGCAACCGATTTTGGAGTAATTATATTCCCACTCGGCTTCTACTTTCCTTCTCCAATTCTGAAACTACTCACACTCAATCAGCCTATACTGACCCAAACGTATTTTGGCCACTTTTAGGCTATTTTTACTGCCTTAAAAACTCCTCCATGTCCACATAAATTAACCAAAACTCATGGGATATTAACAACACTACCCATCGGCCCGAATAGCAAAAAAACTGGCCGAACACGTATTTTTTTATAAAATAGTAAAAAACGTTTATTTTCACTGTTGGTTTCAACTAAAGTCAAAAGTGACAACGAAAATAGGAAAAATTAAAATAGTTATTCATGACGACCAAAAATGATAATATTACGATTATAAGGGTTCAGATAGTATCTCATCCCTCTTTTATTTTGGGAGATAACCGGCAATTGTTATAGTTGCATGGGTAATATATATGCATATTTCAGAGAATTGAATAACACTCTAGTGGTTAGATTGTTGTCCTTCTTGGTAATAGATCAGGGTTCGATTCTCACCAGGATTATTGGGGGTTTTACCCATATTTAAGTAGGGTCCACTAGGATGGATTTTTTTGAAAAAAAAAAATATATACATGTCTCATTTTAATATTGTATTTTGTTTAAAGGAGTAATAAGAATGAAGAAACGAATGTACTCTAGTGATTTGGTAGTAAGACTCTCGTAGGAGATTGCGAGTTTGATTCTCGCCAAACTCGGAATTAGGGATTTAAGATGGGTTTGTGGGAGGGTAAAAAAGAAAAAGGGAAAAAAAGAAAAAGAAAAAGAAAGAACTAAAACTTGTAAGAGTTGACAAAATTGGCAAATTTGAAGGTTGTATAAAAGAGAGACTAAAAAATGAAGATTTTGGCATGGACTGAAATGAGGTGGTTGATAAAACGGTGATGGGACCCATCACGAAATTCCCCTGCCCTGTAGTCCAACCACATCCGCTAGCTTCCATGGGTTTCATTTCATCATCCAATCGGAATTCCTGCACAGATTGCCTCATACTTATTCCTACATGTTCAGCATTCTTTCAAGCTGAGATTGTTTGTTTGTTTGTTTTGTTTGTTTTGTTTAGCCTACTGATCATCATCATCATCATCAACCCAACTCATCTTTTTTGGCTGATTTGCTGAATGTTCTCTGTGGATTCCCAATTCTGATGCCAGGAACTATCCAAGTTTCAGGTACTAATCAATTGTACCGAGCTTCTTTCCATTAAGGTTAATATCTTCCAACACTGGCTTCTCTTTTAACTTGGCCATTTCAAGACTCCATTTTTAATGTATTGCAGTTATGGATTTCTGCCCTCCACCAGCATCAACTCCTCCAACATTGCTGACAGGTAATCAATTGAATATGGTCTTTTCTCTTCTTTTTTTTTTTCCTTCATTCCCTTCTCCTCAAAAGCTCTCAGGTGCCCAATTTTATTCAGACTATGATTTTGTTTTGTTTTGACATCACAATGCAGTTTCACTGGGGAAAAGAGAGTTTCAAACTTCAGACAAAGGGGAGTTTTCCTTGTAAGGAAGTACTACATTCTAGTGAGAATTATTCAATTTGACTTCTTCCTTAAAGTTATGGTCTTTAATGTGCTAAACCTCTTGCAGCCCATTGATAAATCTTCGTGACAATTTAGTCGTTAAAATTCTGGATGATGAGGGAAACGAAACAGCTCAGAAAGGTTAAAACACTCGTTTAATCATTTGAAGAAATGCTTATTTGGGTTATTTATGTTATCTTTTGGGAAGCCTGATGAGGAGTGTTTGAAGGATGTTAGGCATTCAGACTATGTCAATCGTCCAAAAGGTTTCTTGGGATGAAACATTTTTCTTTGAGGGAGGTGGATTTGTTCATTTGAAGTTGCAGTTTGTTCTCACTGAAGAAGACCGCACTCGCATTCGCTTGAAGGTACTCTCTACTGCTTCTGCTTTATCTGGAAGTTTGCCATGTGACAATGTATTGCACCTTTTGCCCACTCTATTCATATGCAAAATGGGAACAATCTCCTGAGTGGATGATCATATGGAATCTTATAATCATTTTAGTTAATCAAGGCTGTTAAGCTACCTGTATGCATCATTTTAATCACGGGTGATATCATATTCAAATAGCTCTCTAAGCATTTCGAAATGCACCTTGATAGCAAGTGGCTTTCATGCCCATTAAGCTTCTCAGTTCTTGCAGAGTTTCTTGTATAGTTACCATAAGAGGAAAAGACCTGCCTTCTTTGTGTGAAGTTTCAATGCATTTACAAATTCCATTTGCTTATTGCTTTTTAAATGCCTCAATAGGTTAAAAGTTTAAAAATTTAAATGTTTTTCTCTAGCCAAAGATCATCAATCTTCCCCCATACATTTTGCTTTGCAGAGAGAAGCAGCTTTGAAGAAGAAACAAGGAAATGTTTCGAAAATTAGTGATAATTCAGACATCACTCATTCTGATGGAGATTCTGCAACTTCACTGGTGCAGGCTGAGGGGAAGAAATCAGGTTACTTTTTCACTTTGACTTTAGAACAAATCACAACATCGCAGCACAGACCTTCATTAAGTTGTTTTGATGCACATGATTCCTGATCCCACCTTTCCCGCATGACTTTTCTGTATATTATGATTACTGTGCCTCGTCAAGATTTACAAAAGAGAAGTATTCTTACGTTAGGTAGTCCTGATAATGTTACCTCGCCAGCCAGTTTATTACCGAATGCTGACATTTCACCCCCTGATCCACAATCTAATTATGGAAGAGAAGGAGCTACTGTCAAAGACAAAAACTCAGTTAAGGATCAAAATTGTTTGTTTATACTCGTTTAACGTTCCTGCAAAAAGTTTCTTCGACTCAGTTAGTGTATCTTAACAGTCAGCCACCTCTTTTAGAAGTCTACAGATGAAAGAGAGGGGGCATTCTCTTTCCCTATGATACAAAGACGTGTAGTACAACATTCCAGTGCTGAACAGAATTTCAAGAAGCTTGAAACTGAGTCATCGCGTCGTAATGTTCACCCAGATCGGGTCAAAGAAGATTCATCTAGGCTGGTACAGTCAGGAACATATGTTGCTCAAACAAACAGCTTAATTTGTCCCGGGAAGGATGATGACCGTGATGATAAATTGAAACAAGAAGTTCCACTGGAGAGAAGTCCTAGCAATGTGAGGAATTTAGTTAGAGCTTTTGAAAGTAGTCAAGCTAAGGTACTGACAATTATGACTACCAGTAGAATGCTGCATGTGTGGTCTGTTAAGTTAATTAAGGTTTTGTTCTTTATATTTATATCAACAAATGGATACTGGAATTCCAGCAGGATTCAAAATCATCTGTTAAAGTAGAAGCTGATAGATCAGGAACTAAAAATGTTGGGAAGCATGGGTATCCAAAGGACTATTACCCTAAGAATTTTTCTGAATCAGAAGGCAGGCAAAAGGATGCATTTGTAGCTGGAGACTTGAGGCCAACCTTGGAGAGTTCCAGTGAGAGAGGAGAAGGTACTGATTCTGCTAAACGTTTCATTGACAATATAGCAAGTGAGATGAGAAAGACTCAGAAAAAGTTGATATCTGTACCTATTCTGTCAGTAGAAAATGAATCAACTTCAGGGCTATCGACAGGATCGCCTAAACAGTTGGAAAGATTATCACCTACTGAAAAACCAACAGTTTCTGGTAGAATGAATGCTGACCCTTATGAAGGGGATTATTCCCCTAGTCTCTCCATTGAAAAACACTACTCAGGTGGCACTTTACTTGCAGAAGGAAGGGGAAGAACTGATTCAACTAAAATTGGTATTCCAGTGGCTTCAATTGAGAAATCAAAATCATTAGAATGTTATGAAGAGGAGCATTTTTATTCTCAACATTCCGGCTTGTGGATTTTTCCCAATAACGTGGAACCCTTGTGTGTCACAGCTGCAGGTAAGTGGGTAAGGAATTTGTTAGGAAGCGGTCCTCCTGATACCAAATTTCAACAGAAGAAGAAGAGTTCCTCTTCATCAAGAGAAGGGGTCCATCAGAAGAAGAGTTCCTCTTTATCAAGAGAAAGGGAGGAGGTATGTAACTTTGATTTCTGTTTCCCTGACAATCTTTTGGTTTACAAACACGTTGTATCTATCTTTCCCTCACCTCAGAAGTGATGTATGATCGTTGGACTTATCGTTACAACAAAAGAAAACTTTAGCCAAATACCATTAACTAACCTCAATACACAACATTCAGCATATTGAAAATTTAACCTTAGAATGTTGAACTATTTTACTGCTTTGAAATTACATTTTATTTTTTGTTTGAACATGTGACAGTTGTACCTTTTCCTCTCATTCAGCCATCAAATATATGGCTCTCAGTTTGTATGATAATTTCAGGAATTTAAACCTCATGAAAGTGAGCACGAAATGCAAAATCACCCGGAAGAATCTCAAAGCAGTAGTAGTTCAAGATCAGAGAGGTCACCAGACAATACCTCTGGTCGGCTTTTCGGACAGGTAACTTAAGCCTCTCTCCGCCCTCTGATAGTGTAGAATCTGAATGCTTTCTATTTCTAATCCTTTTGAAGGCCTTGTTTGACCTCAAAGTACCATAGATTTTATCTATCAAAGTACTATATACTGCTGGATCTAGTTTGACCTCAGATAGTTATGACTAATGGCCTCAAATAGCCAATTTTCAGGTTTAGATCCTTGTTGGATGACCAGATAGCTACAACTGACGATCACCTCTTATTTTTTCCTCAGGTGATCAAGATTGCTATCATTGTGGGATTTGGAGTACTTGTTTTTGTGACGAGACAACGGGATCCCAGGTTTGTCATCAACTTCATTAGGCCCTAAATATTGTTTGGTCTTGTTGACTGGTTGCACTGAGTCTAAATCTCAAAATACCATTGTGGTAACACTTAAGTCAACAAAGTATGTCATGTTTTCAGGGAACATTTATTGGGGTAGTTAAAAACTGGAAAAATATGTTTTCAACTTCAAACCTTGGGATATAACACAATTTAAGAACAACCATAGGGATGATCGTATAGGTGCGGGAGGGGGAGTGGTATTTTTTCGATGTATTAGGTTCAGAAACAGACGCAATGCTGATGCTGAGGATGACACATTTCTATACTTTTGTACAATGTCTAATTTGTGGTTTGTTCAGTCGATAATACTCCTTCCTTATACTTTGTTGTACAGGAAAAGCAAAAGAGATAGAGATGAGCTTTTGCTAGCAACGTCAGAATTTATAAATGAACAAAGTACTATTGAAGAGTAAGAGCCAAGAAGGCTAAAAGGGCTAAACACTTTAGCTGGAAGATTTAGGAACTGACCTGAAGCCTTAGTGAATGGCTTGCCATCGTGATAATCCATTATGTGCTTCCAAGTTGCAGGAACTGAAGTGAAAAAAGTGTCTAACATCTCTGCAATAAGCAGTACTGAGAGCCTAATCAAAGAAAACTGCTGCTGCAGATTTTATAGTTGATTTTGATGAATGTAGGCGTAAATAACTTAAGCAACAAGGTGGATGAGTATGATTTTGATTTTTTTCTTCCTTAAAACACACATTTTTCCTTGACAAAAGAACAGAAATGCAAAAGAGTGGTGACAGAAATCACTAATGCCAGAAAGCAGAGGCAAAAATGGATTTGAGTTGGTAGAAGTTGCCACTTCATCAGAAAACAAAAATTGTAATTGTTTTTCTTTTAACAAGGAATGTAGCTTTTGTGAAATAATCATTGCAAAAGATCAACTGAAGCAAAGAGGAAAGAAAAAATGCCAGAGGATACTTCCAGTTCCAGTTCCGCAATTCGATTATACAGAATACCAAAACACCACATCCCCTAAGGGATGTATCCGATATTTCTTCAAACAATAAGGGTGTGTTTTACATAATGAACCAAACATCGGGGTGGTTTTCTGATATTAACCCTAATTACAATAATCCAGTACAGCTCAGCCCACTTGTTAACGTGGTCCACCGCTAAAAGGCCTAAAGCCCTAAACCTCTCTAATGGTGATGATTCTGCTCTGCTAATAAACAGAACACCTCACCACCGCCTCCTCATCAACTCCATCTCCACCGCTCTCTGAATCTCTTGTTTTGCTCACTGAAAATGGTTCGAAGCTTGAGAAATCCTAAAAAGGCCAAGAGGAAGAACAAGGTGAAATCCTACACCAAAAAGCCTTCTCCTTTTTTTTATCACTGAAACTAAAAATTTGATCTTTATTATCAGTGCGTGCTTAATATGTCTGGAATTAAATTGAATTCTTAATTTTTGTTACGCAACTCATGAACAGGGACCGAGGAAAGGAGAAGGGTCCTCTTCGCAAGTGCCATCACAGCCCGCAAAGGTGTGGCAGCCAGGCGTGGACCAGTTGGAAGAAGGAGAGGAGCTCCAGTGTGACCCTTCTGCTTATAATTGTCTCCATGCCTTCCATATTGGCTGGCCCTGTTTGAGGTATTTCAATTCTCTTTTTCTGTGGAAATGCCCTCTGTGATATTTACAGTTTCGGTGGTTTTATAGGGGTGGGGAGAATTTGTTTTGATATGGATTTCTGGAAGTTTACTGATACGTTTCTGTTGGCCTTTGAACAGCTTTGATATTTTGCACGACTCCTTGGGGTTAGTTCGCACGGATTTCCCTCAGACTGTATACTGTGTTGCAGGAACTCAGGTGATTCTACATTTGCTTAGATAGTGACCGATGATAATTAAGTTCATGTTGATTGTGAAATGCTTTGGTTGGCTACTGTAGTTAATTTTGGTAGGCTTTCAACATTATGTAAGGAAGATAATGCTGATTTTTTTTTTTTAAAAAAAGTGATCGGAATGCAATTGAGCAAACCTTGTAACGGTTTAGCACTGATATTTCTTACACCATCAGTTACCTTAATTACTACGTACTACCGATGCGAGAAATAGTTAGCATTTTCTTTAGCTCACTACTTTTGCCAGCTCAGGTAGACGATATTTTTAACCTGTTTGAATTTCTGATTCACTTCTGCACCCCTTCTATGTTTGTTTCCCTTGCAGGCTAAGGAAGGTTCTTCGAACTATATTGGAATCTTCAAATTATCTAACATATCTGGCAAGAGACGTCAATTAGTTCCCAAAAAAATCGATGCTGATGGCTTGGATATAGATGATAATGAAAGTGATGAAAGTGATAGCGACGATACTGACGAAGAGGATGGAAGTGGATCTGGAACTCCTGTTTTGCAGGTGATTGCATTTGTTCTTTAACATTGGCTCTCCGACTTTTTGTTTAAGGTTGGTATGTATGTATATTTTTAACATGCAGTTCTCACTGTAATAATGTCTTGTTTTGATATTCATCTTACAGCTTAACAAGGTCGCCCATGAAGGATGCATTAACAGAATACGTGCAATGATGCAAAATCCACATATTTGTGCTTCTTGGGCAGATACTGGTCATGTTCAGGTCTGTTTTTCTGCCCATGACTTTTTGGTGTTGGTTCATAATTATTGGCAAACAATCAGTCTATGGTGGAACATAAAATGTATGAAAGAAGAATATTTTCACCTGCTTCAGCAATGTTGTTTGTTTAGGGTTGATATTGCTTGTAGTTAAAGTGGAAAGATGGTACTTCGTGATGCTCTCGGGTTTACTTCGGCATGGTGTTGCTCGGATTGTTTCTTATACGATCATTTTATTTTTGTTTGATTCAAAGTAGAAAGTGCTTTGGTACAAATATTCACCTCTATGTTCAAGTGCTAATTCCAGCTATCGACAAATTTAGAAACAATTAAACTGTTGTCAGAACTACTTTTTATTCCAAACCATCTTAATGTCATTCCTGGAAATTATAGAACTTCAAATAAGATACCAATCTTGTTATCTCTTACTCTTGAAGCTGCGGTGATGCTTTTGTAGATATGGGACTTCAGCTCTCATTTAAATGCTTTGGCTGAATCAGAGACCGGCACCAACCTAGAAGGTCCCGTTGTGAACCAATCTCCCGTGATAAAATTTAGGCATAAAGATGAAGGCTATGCTCTGGATTGGAGTCCACTTGTGCCTGGAAGGCTCGTTTCAGGTCATAATAACCTTGTCATGTATTCAGCTTCTGTCACTGTAGTCTGTACATTTTATTGCAACTCCAGGCTTGATTTTGGTGTTCTTTTACCTTTTTAGGTGACTGCAAGAATAATATCCATCTGTGGGAACCATCTGGTGCTAGTTGGAACGTTGATACTACTCCCTTTGTTGGACATAAAGCCAGTGTTGAAGATTTGCAGGTAGAAATAATTTGTAGAATGACTATAACACCTCTTTTACAAAAAGAAAGATTACAAGTTGTTCTTTAACTTCTTTTTGGCATATTTTGCTCTGTTTATTATCAATTTTTCCGTCTCCTCTGGGCACATGGCATTTTGCGGTCCCAAAAGTTTAGAGGATCAACACTTGCAATCTTTTATGTCTTAACATGAATTGAGGACTGAAAATGTTGACTTCAAAACACATGGGGACGGAAAATCTTTAATGTTTTAACATGATTGAAATCACCAGTTTCTTTTCCAGAGAAGGTTGTTTAGTTACTAACTGTTTTGTGTTCATTTTTGTACAGTGGAGTCCCACAGAACCATACGTTTTTGCCTCTGGCTCTGTGGATGGAAGTATTGCTATATGGGATACTCGTATGGGGAAATCTCCTGCAGCGTCAATAAAAGCACATGACGCAGATGTCAATGTTATCTCCTGGAACAGGTGGTAAAGTTAAATTTTTATTCCAATGTCTGTTATGTTCCTATTTTCAGTAGTTCGCTAACCTACTCATCCAATTTTGACTAGACTGGCGAGTTGTATGCTGGCTTCTGGAAGTGATGATGGGACCTTTTCAATTCGTGATCTTAGATTGCTAAAGGTATAAACTTGTACTGATCATCTTATTTTGAAGTTAAACTGCATTAATTCTGAACGGCATATTCAAAAGAAAAAAAAAAAATCTGAATGGCATACCCTGCTTCTGTTATCCAGGGGGCTGCTTCTTCCAATGAACAAAAAAAAATGCTTTTTGTTTGTGTCCCAATTAAAGTTGAAAAGTCTAACTGATCATGCTCCATACTCAGAAGATTAATTTAGACATGTAGTTAAGCTCTTACTCAGCTGCTGATTTGTAAGTGACTTTCGTGTTTTGCATCTGCTGAGGAAGGAGATATGTTGGTTTAGTCTAAAATGCTTAGAGAAATAAGTTGGTGTACTTTTTGTTCTGCTGCATGTATCTCAAGATGTAGTGTGGGTTGTCCTTATTTTGGTTTTGAAATCTCTTTTTGAGCAGGAAGGGGATTCTGTGATGGCACACTTTACATATCACAAGCACCCTATAACATCCATTGAGTGGAGTCCCCATGAAGCTTCTACGTTGGCTGTTTCATCTGCTGATAATCAACTAACGTAATCTCTCTCTCTCTCTCTCTCTCTCTCTCACACACACACACACACACACACTCTCTATATGTATGTATGTATGTATCTATCTCTCTGTGTTACCTGACTACTGCTGTGTCTCATCTTCTCCAATTTAGGATATGGGACTTTGCATTAGAAAGAGATGAGGAGGAGGAAGCTGAATTTAAAGCCAAAACTCAGGAACAAGTGCTTGCTCCTACTGATTTACCACCACAACTACTTTTTGTTCATCAGGTTCTATTCTTGTCTGCCGACTATGAAGTATACTGGATTTCCACATGTAGTGACGAATCTTCCCTTCTTGTTTTTACAGGGCCAGAAAGACTTGAAAGAACTTCACTGGCATTCACAGATTCCAGGAATGCTCATTTCTACCGCATCAGATGGTTTTAACGTATTGATGCCATCAAATATCGAATGTTCACTTCCCGGAGTTAACAGTTGAAAGTGCGGTTCTCCTGACGTGCAATCAAGTTCAGGCAGCAGCAGATACAACTTGGTAAAAGTAGCTTGCAAAATTTGTTCCATCTCAAGTCAAGTTTATTTTCGTGTTTTAGCTAGGTCTATTGTCCCGGGTTTAAAAGTTGTACTGACACTTGTACTCTGCTTGTGGCGCGGAAGTTTACTAAAATTACTGTGCTAGAGAAAATTTTGCCCCCTTTTCCATACTTTCCTTTCTATATAGAAGTTTACAACAGCAACGGAAAAAACAGTAATAACAAAGTAAATCCTAGAACTATTTGGAAGCTAACTAAAGAGGCTATATATATATATATATATATATATATATTTCCTATTTCGATCGGCAATCTAAAATTAATCTAACAAGTAGCACGTTTTTTTTTTTTTTAAGAAAAAAACTAATTAACAAAAAATACTTCCTATTCCTAACTATAATTGACATTTTCGATTCATGGTTTTGCTTCTTCTGCAATTGCACGTTACCAGCTCCAGAAGCTGCTATGTGATCCAACAGTTGCCAAGGTTGCTGGCTCGAAGGATACTACTACTACTTGCCAGTTTGATCGGATTTATCAGCTCGGTGATACAACATTAGATACTGGAAATTATGTTGCCGAAAACCCTTTTGAGCTTTTACAACAGATTTCCTTATGGAATCTCTCTCGGAAAACCTACGGGAAGAGCATCCAATGGCTTCATGATGATCGATTATTTCGCCGAAGCATTTGGTTTGCCATACCTTAATCCTTACAAGAGCGTCGAGGGCGCAAATTTCAGCAATGGAGTAGACTTTGCTGTTACCGGTTGAAACCTTACCATCCAAAGGTCTTCCGCCTAATGGGAACCCCTATGACGGCTGGTTCGCGCTCATAGGCCTTCTTCAACCGCTTCATTTTGTCACGAACAGATCTCTCAATGTGCAGTTGGAATGGATGGCATCTCATTTCAACAACACTTGTCAAACTAGAGAAGGATGTCAAGATTTATTGAAGAATTCGCTATTTGTTGTTGGAGAGATTGGAGCGGTCGATTATAGTTTTGCAAGTCTTGTACTTGGCGAAGACCAGTTGAATGGTTTTATTGTACAAGTGGTCCAAAACATAATGCAAGCCGTTAAAACAGTGATCAGCTTTGGTGCGACCAAAGTTGTTGTTCCCGGACATTTTGCCATTGGCTGTCTTCCTGTTGCTCTAACATTCTTTTCTGTTGAGGACGACGATCCAAGAAGATATGACTCTAATCACTGCTTGGCGTCTCTAAACGACTTAGTTTCACTTCACAATCAGATTTTGAAATGAGCCATTGAAGAATTGAAGAAGGAATATCCCAACATTGCTATCATATATGCTGATTACTACAATGCCTTCTTGTCAGTTCTATCCAATGCGGAAAAGCTTGGATTCGAGAATAAGTTTTCAGCTTGTTGCGGGAGTGGAGTGTCGTTCAACTTTGACTTCGTGAAACCATGTGGGACGCCTGAAGTTACTTCGTGCCCTAACCCAGATAACCATATCAGTTGGGACGGATTTAGCATGACTCAGCAGGCAAACAAGTTCATGGCTGACTATTTGATCAACTCTATCTCTCCTCAGTTGGATTGTAGTTGAATCTGTTTATAGTTAACCATAATACTCAATCTCTAGTTGTAGGATTCATGGTTCTTAGTTTTGTTTGATGCAGAAGTTTTAGCTGATTTTATCTGTTTGTTGATCAATGAAGGGCGGATTGTCCTGGTTGGAATTTTGTTTTTGCTGCTATAGATTTGACATTTAAAGAAGTTTATTTTCCTTATTTTGAAGTTGAAATTTGTTACTTTCATATTTTTCTACCTTTGGATGGTTCTTATGATCTGTATGATTTAATCCATCGAATAATACAGCAGGTACATGTTAGAAAATGTACTATACAAGTAAACCTGAGCCTTGACCGAGTTCAGCTGATAACAACGGTAAAGGCTATAATCGAACATAGCTAGAAAAGGTTGGCTTGAGCTCGCAATGAACCAAGCTCAAGTCAGGTTTAAGCCTCTACAGTGGTTGACCCGAGGTCGAGCTCTAATACCTAAAAATTAGGAGTATGTACCACAAAGTGTAGTTCTTGAATCCATTAATAAAGGAACAAAGCAAGAACTGAAAGAAGCTAGTTAAAGTATCACCACTCCTCTTTTATTAGTAAGACCATATCTGTAACAAGAACTTATTTTCGGCTTCAAAAAGTTCATGTTGTGAGTACTGGTAAGCTACATTTCCACTCAGATTCCAGAGCACATTTTGATGATCTAGGCCACATCTAACATGTCATTTTACATTGAAAGAACAGCAGTCATCAGTGAATAGCTTGAAAACTGATACCTATAGTCCTTTGAACTGGGATGTGCATAAGTGTCTTCCAAACTGCGAGATAATATCCTTCAATGCTCCATAAATACAGCTACCATCAGAGACTAAAATGAACACTCTAATGTTTACTATTAGACTCTATAATGAACTATAGCAATTGAATTAAGCTCGGCATGAACCACAGGCAGAAGAATAATCAAGCCTAAAAACCAATTTTGCACCACTTTTCAAAAGAAGAGTAAATTACTAGCCGGTCACCACCAAGTGTAGAACCATCCAAAAACAGAACCAATCAGAAGACATGATCATCACTAAATGAAGATATTCACAGTTCCATCATATGATCTAAATACAATACATATGGAAGGAGTTGTGCTGTATTGGGAATTACACTGGATATCGCCAAACTCGATGATATTCTCGAGTAATCATGTGATCATCCGACATAATTGACTTCGTCATGAATCACAAGTTCCTAAACTGTGCAAGTTGAATTGTGTTCTGTATATTTCCTTCTTGATCAGGAATTATATTGGAATAATAATATAGCAATTTATATGATACAACAATAGAAAAGTGCATTTAATTTCTATATGAAACTATTCCTGAATAAAGGATCTTTTGCTGGTTCACTCACAATAGGTGAACGAGAGGAACTATAATAGGCAGGTTGTTCAACAATTTTATTAACTGATGATTACTTTGATGACACCAAATGGTTAAATTTTTTTCTTTTCGGTATAGAGAAATTTAAACATACTTGCATAATCCTAATAACATCATTTAAGTACTATTAAGTGGAACGGAACGGAACAGTTGAGCCTGACTTCACCTTGAGAACCCGTCAAAGTGACTAGATTTGACATCTTAATCAAGGCTGTGGTGAGGTCTCTTCGAAAAGTGGAACCGTCGTCTGACACGTATTCTTCTACGACGGCAGCTGTTTCTTCGTTGGCCATTAACTCCATGTCGGAAAAGAGGAGGCCCCTTCTTCTGGTCAGCTATTCGTAATAGTGAGTTCCGAAATGAGATCTCAACAGAGAAGATGAGGACAGGGTCCATCATGCTGAAGTTGTTATTCATATTCTGACACTTTTGTCGTATCTCCTCTTTGAAATCATCAGGAAGGTATGTATCATTTGGTGGCTGGATGAACTGACAGCTGATGAATCCAATGCTGTGTCCTCCCAAGAGTGCTACAGTTTCCCTCACGGTGAACCCTCGATCAGTAAACAGCTTCAGATTGTCATCGATCTTTCCAAACGGCCTCGGAATCTCGTTCAAGGATTCGTTGAAGGACAGTTTGCTGTCCCTTCTGCCTGTGTAGAGAGGGTAGAAAGGCCCACCTGAAAGGCTGATGGCATCCCTGGCGGCAAGTGCCAGAATATCCGAACACGACACTATTCCAGGGCATTCTTTCTCTAGCGCCTCCTTAATCATATCGATGATTTCAAATCCTTTGAGCTTCTTATTTGGTATAGAATCTTTCTCCGGCACAGGACGTCCCTGGCGTAGCAGTACGGACTACTACGGAAGCATCGCACCCTTTGATGAAGCAATCGTGGAAAAAGAGGCGCAGCAGCTCCGCAGGCGCATTGTTGAATTCTGGATTCTGAAGGATTTTCTGAACCTGGGTGAATATGATTTGCTCTGCCTGCGGGCACGACGTCTCTGCATAGAAATCGATTCTCAGCGATGCTGCTGCCTTTCCTGGACCTGGTATTATACTACCAACAACCAGCCAGAAGAGCACAATCATCGTCATCAATGGGTAACTCATCGGAGAAAATTTAGAGTAACAATGAAATTAAGAGAATACAAGTAGCTAGAGCTCAATTAGTCCTTGTACATATACTGAATTCAGATCAAACCTTTTTTTGTTTTTTGTTTTGAACATCCCAAATGCATGAAGTATGTATGATGGACCTGTAAAGATGTTGATTCAATTTGCATACTCTCACCTACTCTGCTTCTAACCAAATATCATCAAAACTTAACCCTCCAACTCTAATCTCCAAATTAACTTGTATCTGTACAGCATAATGTCACCAACAAACCACAGAATCTGTTCTGCTCAAGAAATGAATTACTGTAGTTCTTTTCTCGGTTTGGATGTTGCACACATTTGCTGAATTGTCATGGAAACGTTTTGTTATACTATTAGCATGATTCAATACAATTCATGAATATGAAAATGCATTATATAGAACACAATTCTACTGTAGAACGTAAGTGTGAGCTGATTAGATGAACTAGTCAATAATTTCAGATGATCGCATGATGCTCCAGAATCTCATTTGTGTTTGACTATTATCCACTGGCCAGTCTTGAGAAGCCAGCCATTGTTAACTCTGCTCGTTAGGAACATTACAGAAACGCAGACCTATGCATATCTGGTACACAGTAAGGAAGCAAAAATGTCACACGTTGTTTAGGAACATTATGGTATTACTTTCTGTGGTTACCTTTGAATTTTGGTATAGTTCGACTTATATCGACTCATTTTGTGCAAAGGGATTAGCTCACTAGTACGAAAAGCCTAGTTTTTAGTTTCATTGAGCTTGCAATTTATAAACTTCCAGAATTCAAATGCGAAATTAGGAACGAAAGCAAGCGTTACAACTATGCAGTTTCTATCAGTGTGTTTGGGAGTTAAAATCATTTTAATGAAGAAATTAATGTATCGCCTAAAAAGCTTTGGAGATGAGAGCAGTTTAATTACTATATGAGATGGAGAGTTGAAATCAACCACTTACATGTCGACCGTCTTGTATGTAATACTATCACTACTCCGACGACGACATTTTTTACTGTCTACAGAAGTCATCAGACCGAAAATTCATGAACAATCAGCCTAACAAAGGAGTATTATCAGAACTCAATCAATTTTCCAGATATCGCGGACCATAAAAGAAAAAAGATTCCCATTTAAAAAAGGAAACTATAAAAATTGTATACGCGATAAGAATCTAAAACATTACGGAACTTTATTCAAGAAGAATGAGAAATAATAAACATTAAAAGTTAGGCAAGCATGCAAACTGATCAGCAACTGTAACCCTTGAGTGTGGAACAGCCTTGGAGAGAAATACTTGGTCGAAAAAGATCAAAGAGATCCTCACACCGAAGGGGAACATAGACACTGGGCAAATATAGATGAAATAAATCCTTGTGCCGTTCATAAACCCAGATCTTCACAGCTGGTAGTCAGGTCAGGAGATAGGAGCAGCTCTCTTCGTGGTCCTGCTTCTAAGAACTAACAGGTTTGCCGTTTAATTTTGGAAACGGATCTTGTTTGCTTAAAACCACCACCTTGCTCTTATGAGCAAAGTATCCCTTGACAAGATTTTTGTAGATTAGAATGGACATAATGCATTCCACCTGCCACAAGAGTAATGGTTGCCCCAAGTACTTAAGTAAATGAATGAGATATTGAAAAAAAGAGAAGCCAATGACTGGAAAGTTGAAAAAAGTGCAATTAGTTAGATACCAGGGTAAACAATTACCTCATCAATATCCATATCCATTTGAAGCCATTTCATTGCTTTAACAATGACATCTAGCTTTATCTGATGGGCCTTATTGGGATCCTTCTCCTTTTGGATTAAGTGACTATAGAGGCAAAGAGAAATTTATAATCAATCACAATTCCTCTAGAAATGAAGAAAAACAAGGTGTAAATACCAGTAACTTACATCTTCTTCAACAATCTTTGGTAAACTTGAAGCTCTAGCTTCTCTAACACGAGGTACACTCCAGATCTTAAGAAGCTGAAAGCACAGTTTCCACAATGTTATTATATACCATAAACATGTAAACCAGTGGTTGCAAGATAATAAATAGAGCGTACCGGTCTTCATGCTCCAGGAGAGCATGTCTAAGGAGTCGAAGATCACCTCGTCTGAGGGATAGCACGATGTCACTATACTGTAAGAAATGAATTATCATCAGTATTTCCCCACATAAAAAAACATTAGAATCATCCTGTAATTATCATCACTACACTGTAAGCATGATGTCAGTACTTTGCCATATCATGTGCTTTCTAGGAGTTAATTGATATAAATGTCATCCATGTTAAACAATACAGATTACAGACAATACCAAAGCTGGAGATTCAGAATGTACCTCAGTCAAACCATAGCTTTCAAGAAGCGATGCTCTAGGCAAGACTCCAATTGACAACTTTACTGGTACTAGATACTTGAGAATCATCCTGTCACATTATGAACAAAAGGAAGGCATTCAGCGTGAAGCTGCTGCAAAAAGATTATGCCTATAAATTCTATGTGCATTAAAAACGTCAAAAATGGCAATTCACTTTTGCCCCTTCAAAAACGTCAAAAATGTCAAGAATGTCATATGTAACTTCATATTGTTCAGAAGCTTCCAAAAAGAGCTTCCTTTCAATAATTTCTGGATGGAGACCAATATGATAAAATAGATGGTGGATCAAGAGCCTTCTTGCAGAAAATAGTGGACCAGGAAAAAGACACGAATGCTTAGTTTCAGTGGGTTTGAGAAGAAAAGGTACAATTTAAAGAATGTTGGGAACACGCAACAGATATTTCTAGAGAAGAATTGACTTTGACCAACCTCATATTAGCTCCCTTCCGGGAATTGCAATGTGTCAAAGCATATGATAATTTATGATCAGCTGCTGGAAAATTCTCATTGTAGACCTCCAGACGGCCAGTGTAATACATATATGTGACCCTATCCCGAACAGGAAATTCTTCGAAGTCAAAAATCCTGGCAGTTTCAATGCTTCTTATGACACTGCGGCATAGATGAACAGTACCAAGCTTGAAGTAAATTTTGAAAAGCTGGCAGGTCACATATAGAGCTCCAACACGTTTGGGACCTTTTCCAGCAAGAGTACTAAAAACTTTCATAAGAAGTGAACCAGCCCCTTTTAGTTTTTCTGGGGTTTTCCCATTCGCAGTCAATTCTCTATCCGCCTGAATTGTTCAAGAGACAAATTAGTACACTTTACAAAAGAGCAGAACCGACACAAAAGAAAAAATAACAATTAAAATGCACAAGGTTTTTTACCCTCTCAGCAAGAACCCTAATCTCATATGCAAGTACATAGACTGCCTCCAAGGCCCAGGCTGATTCCCAATTGCGAAATTCCTGGATAAAAGAACTGCAATTTCAAGATTACTACCGATACCATTAAGCAGAAAAAAAATCGGTTAAGCTCAAACGTACTTTGCAGCCTTTTCAAAGGCCTGGTAGGACTCAACCAAATTTCTCAAACGATAGCTTTGCAACGTGCGAAACAGGGGAAGGATTATGTCCGCATACTGTGCATACTCATTCGATTGTCTAATCAATCTACTGAAATCCTGTGCCATACAAAAACAGGAGAATCAGAAGATCTTTCTAGCATAGATATACAAAGAGCACAGCTAATATGATATGACTCAAACAAACAACATTTATTAAACATTCCTGGATCACATAGGAAACCTTAAACAATGACAAGAGAGAAGAAAAGGTAAATGCAAAAAAATCAAGGCCCCAATTTATCCAGACCAAAAAACAACTGGGAAAGAAGAAACACTTGACCTTCTTTGACTGTCTAAAGCTTAGATGCTTCCTAGCTGCCGAATTCAGGTTTATATAATTTGAAGAACAATCTATAAAAGAGCTTCAAATAAAGCCATAATTCCTCTATCCAATCATTGCTTTTCACTTCTTTTTGCCTGGGTAAAAATCGCAACTTTTTTTTTAAAAAAAAAAAATCTAGGAGATTTTCTAAAATTCATCGATACAAATAAGTAACATCGTTTCATGAAGTTGAGAATTTAAGAATAGATACCCAAAATTGCAATACTGAAACACGAATGAAACCAAAAGGCAGGTAAAAGGAGGCATGACCTGGAAGGTGTTGAGGGCATCGGCGAGGGAGAGGAGCTGAGGGGAATCGGAGGAGATGGAGAGGAGGCGGCTGAGAGACTTGCCGTCCTGGGTGGAAACGGCGTCGGAGAAGCGGTTTAAGTACTCCAAAATTCGCCGGTGAGCTTCCCCCATGCTCATGTATGCTCCCCCGGCCATTGTTTCTGATTCTCTGTGTCTCTCTCTGCACGTCGACGGCGAAAATCGGGCACTGGGAAAGTGTTTTGCGACTTTGCTCAGAAAATTAGTACTACTAGTCAAACAAGCTTAAAGGCGTGTGAGATAGACAAGACCCTGGACACCACGCTTTCTCTGGTTTAACAAAGGCGTCGGAGAGGACAAGACTTTTGCTTCCACGCTTTCTGGAGCGTAGAAGTAAAAAAGTCTAATGAGAAAGAAAGGCGCCAATTTCTGTTCATCACATGTATGATTATCTAATTATTGTTTCTCGATATGTATGATTACGATCTCAAAATTTTAGTAGAAGTGAGCAGAAACACCACCTCTCTCAATAAAAGAGTTATGTTACCTAAATCTCTTTAGAGCAACCGCATTAGGTGGTAATTGGTATTGAGAGTTAGTCAATTACAACTACTTTTTTACTCCAAACCACTGCGGAGAGTTTTCCATATGTACAGTATATGCATTCTTCTGCAGTTTACACCACTTCAATAAAATAGTACATGTAAAGTTGGGATCACCACTTTTACTAAAATCAGTACTACTGTTAAGAAGTAAAATATTGCCTATGACTTTCCTTTAAGTTAATACTTACGAAGTGTTGATGGGCGGTTAAGATGAGTTGCTAGGAAGTGTTGATGGTTCGAATCACGGGTTGGAAGTGGCTTGAACGTGTGCAAGAAAGCAAAGGGAGGCCGAGTGGAAAAGAGTGGGTGGTTACAAATTAGTTACAAACTATTTAGCGGGTAGTTATTTTAGTAGTTTGCATTTGTAAGCCATTTAACTTGTATTTCATTCTTTATCCTATGTAGTTGGGGGTGTCAACTACTTCATCTCTATTTATAGAGATGTAGAGGGGCTGAAAACCAGAGAGAGAGGAGAAGAGAAAGGAGAGAAGGCAAGATGTAAGAATGCTTTGAGTTTTGAGAGTTCGAAGAAAAGTCTAATCCAAAAGTAGACTTGTGTGGGAAAATAGCCAAACCCGAAAAATTATTGGTTGGGGAATAAGAGCCTAGAGTTAGGTTTCTGTTCTCATTTGAGACGTGAATCTCTTGTAAGGTTTGTGTTGAGTAATAAAATTAGAAGTGATTGGGATTTTGGTCCAAGATATAAATGTTTGTGTGCCTTAAAATGATTACTTGGTATGTTGCTAAGCGAATCTCTTCCGCTGCATGATTGCTTAGTGGGCTGGTGGTTTTGGTTGGACAAAATCTACGCCGGTAGATCGCCAAATTCGTAGGAAGAGATTTGGGGTCTAACAAGTTGGTATTAGAACCCCGGTTGCGAGGGATGGGGCTGGTATCAAGGTGATTTGTTCATCACGTGTTGTTGTTCTTATAGAGAAGGACATGCAGTTGGGATCAAAGACTTTGTTTGTTGCTGTTTGGTATGGGACAATCAGTAAGTTTTCATTGTTGTTGATTGCGTTTTGAAAAAGAAATTGTAGGAATTTCTTTTTCGTTGTTGGTTTATTGATGAAACGTGTGGGATCTTGAGGGATCGTTGCTATTTCTTGGTGGAAGTAGCAGCGAGTTGTGGGTTTCTTAGTGAAACATGTGAGGATCTTTGATGATCGTGTGGCTGTTTATCTATAATGATGCGGCGTGTGAAAAATTTTCAGGTGAGATGGGGATCGAGTTTGATCGGCACTCGCTTTTGCAAAAGGAAGAGTGAAGGTGGAGATTGAGAATCTTTGTTGTTGTTGGCTGGTTATGGGACAGTTGATAATGGCTTTGATTCTTGATTGCGTAGGAAATGGAATAGTGAAAGTTTCATTTGCGAGTAAGGAACCTTTGAAAGGTTGAGGGGCAGAAAGTTATTTCATGCCTTGGAGTTGCGCTGAGTTTTATGAACTTGGTACATCGAGTTGTTTCTCTAAGTGTGAGAAAAACGTTTAGAGATTCTTCGTATTGTTCAAACAAAATCAGTGGCATTTGGAGGAGCTATGCTGGTTTGTTTGATGAGGGCATCAAACATTTCAAGTGGGGGGGAGGGGGTTTGTTAGGAGGTAAAATATTGCCTATGACTTTCCTTTGAGTTGATACTTGCAAAGTGTTGCTGGGCGGCTAAGATGAGTTGCTAGTAAGTGTTGATGGTTCGAATCACGGGTTGGAAATGGCTTGAACGTGTGCAAAAAGGCAAAGGGAGGCTGAATGGAAAAGAGTGGATGGTTACAAATTAGTTACAAACTACTTAGCGGGTAGTTATTTTAGTAGTTTGCATTTGTAAGCCATTTAACTTGTATTTCATTCTTTATCCTAGGTAGTTGGGGGTGTCAACTACTTCATCTCTATTTATAGAGATGTAGAGGGGCTGAAAACCAGAGAGAGAGGAGAAGAGAAAGGAGAGAAGGCAAGATGTAAGAATGCTTTGAGTTTTGAGAGTTCGAAGAAAAGTCTAATCCAAAAGTAGACTTGTGTGGGGAAATAGCCAAGCCCGGAAAATTGTTGGCTGGGGAATAAGAGGCTAGAGTTAGGTTTCTGTTCTCATTTGAGACGTGAATCTCTTGTAAGGTTTGTGTTGAGTAATAAAATTAGAAGTGATTGGGATTTCGGTCCAAGATATAAATGTTTGTGTGCCTTAAAATGATTACTTGGTATGTTGCTAAGCGAATCTCTTCCGCTGCATGATTGCTTAGCGGGCTGGTGGTTTTGGTTGGACAAAATCTATGCCGGTAGATCGCCAAATTCGTAGGAAGAGATTTGGGGTCTAACAAGTTGGTATTAGAGCCCCGGTTGCGAGGGATGGGGCTGGTATCAAGGTGATTTGTTCATCACGTGTTGTTGTTCTTATAGAGAAGGACATGCAGTTGGGATCAAAGACTTTGTTCGTTGCTGTTTGGTATGGGACAATCAGTAAGTTTTCATTGTTGTTGATTGCGTTTTGAAAAAGAAATTGTAGGAATTTCTTTTTCGTTGTTGGTTTATTGATGAAACGTGTGGGATCTTGAGGGATCGTTGCTATTTCTTGGTGGAAGTAGCAGCGAGTTGTGGGTTTCTTAGTGAAACATGTGAGGATCTTTGATGATCGTGTGGCTGTTTATCTATAATGATGCGGCGTGTGAAAAATTTTCAGGTGAGATGGGGATCGAGTTTGATCGGGTACTGCTTTTGCAAAAGGAAGAGTGAAGGTGGAGATTGAGAATCTTTGTTGTTGTTGGCTGGTTATGGGACAGTTGATAATGGCTTTGATTCTTGATTGCGTAGGAAATGGAATAGTGAAAGTTTCATTTGCGAGTAAGGAACCTTTGAAAGGTTGAGGGGCAGAAAGTTATTTCATGCCTTGGAGTTGCGCTGAGTTTTATGAACTTGGTACATCGAGTTGTTTCTCTAAGTGTGAGAAAAACGTTTAGAGATTCTTCGTATTGTTCAAACAAAATCAGTGGCATTTGGAGGAGCTATGCTGGTTTGTTTGATGAGGGCATCAAACATTTCAAGTGGGGGGGAGGGGGTTTGTTAGGAGGTAAAATATTGCCTATGACTTTCCTTTGAGTTGATACTTGCGAAGTGTTGCTGGGCGGCTAAGATGAGTTGCTAGTAAGTGTTGATGGTTCGAATCACGGGTTGGAAATGGCTTGAACGTGTGCAAAAAGGCAAAGGGAGGCTGAATGGAAAAAGAGTGGATGGTTACAAATTAGTTACAAACTACTTAGCGGGTAGTTATTTTAGTAGTTTGCATTTGTAAGCCATTTAACTTGTATTTCATTCTTTATCCTAGGTAGTTGGGGGTGTCAACTACTTCATCTCTATTTATAGAGATGTAGAGGGGCTGAAAACCAGAGAGAGAGGAGAAGAGAAAGGAGAGAAGGCAAGATGTAAGAATGCTTTGAGTTTTGAGAGTTCGAAGAAAAGTCTAATCCAAAAGTAGACTTGTGTGGGAAAATAGCCAAACCCGAAAAATTATTGGTTGGGGAATAAGAGCCTAGAGTTAGGTTTCTGTTCTCATTTGAGACGTGAATCTCTTGTAAGGTTTGTGTTGAGTAATAAAATTAGAAGTGATTGGGATTTCGGTCCAAGATATAAATGTTTGTGTGCCTTAAAATGATTACTTGGTATGTTGCTAAGCGAATCTCTTCCGCTGCGTGATTGCTTAGCGGACTGGTGGTTTTGGTTGGACAAAATCCACGCCGGTAGATCGCCAAATTCGTAGGAAGAGATTTGGGGTCTAACAAGTTGGTATTAGAACCCCGGTTGCGAGGGATGGGGCTGGTATCAAGGTGATTTGTTCATCACGTGTTGTTGTTCTTATAGAGAAGGACATGCAGTTGGGATCAAAGACTTTGTTTGTTGCTGTTTGGTATGGGACAATCAGTAAGTTTTCATTGTTGTTGATTGCGTTTTGAAAAAGAAATTGTAGGAATTTCTTTTCGTTGTTGGTTTATTGATAAAACGTGTGGGATCTTGAGGGATTGTTGCTATTTCTTGGTGGAAGTAGCAGCGAGTTGTGGGTTTCTTAGTGAAACATGTGAGGATCTTTGATGATCGTGTGGCTGTTTATCTATAATGATGCGGCGTGTGAAAAATTTTCAGGTGAGATGGGGATCGAGTTTGATCGGGTACTGCTTTTGCAAAAGGAAGAGTGAAGGTGGAGATTGAGAATCTTTGTTGTTGTTGGCTGGTTATGGGACAGTTGATAATGGCTTTGATTCTTGATTGCGTAGGAAATGGAATAGTGAAAGTTTCATTTGCGAGTAAGGAACCTTTGAAAGGTTGAGGAGCAAGAAAGTTATTTCATGCCTTGGAGTTGCGCTGAGTTTTATGAACTTGGTACATCGAGTTGTTTCTCTAAGTGTGAGAAAAACGTTTAGAGATTCTTCGTATTGTTCAAACAAAATCAGTGGCATTTGGAGGAGCTATGCTGGTTTGTTTGATGAGGGCATCAAACATTTCAAGTGGGGGGGAGGGGGTTTGTTAGGAGGTAAAATATTGCCTATGACTTTCCTTTGAGTTGATACTTGCGAAGTGTTGCTGGGCGGCTAAGATGAGTTGCTAGTAAGTGTTGATGGTTCGAATCACGGGTTGGAAATGGCTTGAACGTGTGCAAAAAGGCAAAGGGAGGCTGAATGGAAAAGAGTGGATGGTTACAAATTAGTTACAAACTACTTAGCGGGTAGTTATTTTAGTAGTTTGCATTTGTAAGCCATTTAACTTGTATTTCATTCTTTATCCTAGGTAGTTGGGGGTGTCAACTACTTCATCTCTATTTATAGAGATGTAGAGGGGCTGAAAACCAGAGAGAGAGGAGAAGAGAAAGGAGAGAAGGCAAGATGTAAGAATACTTTGAGTTTTGAGAGTTCGAAGAAAAGTCTAATCCAAAAGTAGACTTGTGTGGGGAAATAGCCAAGCCCGGAAAATTGTTGGCTGGGGAATAAGAGTCTAGAATTAGATTTCTGGTCTCATTTGAGACGTGAATCTCTTGTAAGGTTTGTGTTGAGTAATAAAATTAGAAGTGATTGAAACTTCGGTCCAAAATATAAATATTTGTGTGCCTTAAAATGATTACTTGGTATGTTGCTAAGCGAATCTCTTCCGCTGCGTGATTGCTTAGCGGACTGGTGGTTTTGGTTGGACAAAATCCACGCCGGTAGATCGCCAAATTCGTAGGAAGAGATTTGGGGTCTAACAACAACCACTGCGATTGCTCTAAGAGACATAATCAAACATAATTTTATTTCGATCATTCAAAAGGAATTTCTAATTGTATAACATGTCTTCTTGTGCTAGTTCTCAAATCTCCATCGATGTATAAGACGGTTCACGGATGTGCACCACCGTCACTGATTGCATTCCTGTATGGAGTCGAGATCAAAAGCCACTTACTACATAAGTGATGATTTCGTCTCCATGACTGAAATAGTATTATACTTAGTTTCACAAATTACAACTCATTCAAGAAAATCGTGTCCCAATACCATTGCCCCGAGAGCACTGCTTTGTTGTTCATTGTAATTGATCTTGTTCCTCCAATTATTCCTATGTTTCCCATACAAGAAATACAGCAAGGTGCAAGCTTAGTGGCTCAAGAAGCAGATCGAGTTCAAGATTACTAAATGAATGAAACAACAATCTATAGGCAATGAATGACGAAGAACATTAGAAGATGTTTCACTGCCAACTCAACAAATTCATGACAAGAGTACAAGATTGTAACATCGGACATGAACACATAAGTGATATGATTTCATAAATTTCTACCACGCACTACATTTGGAAGGTAACAATGTACAGAAAACTTCCAGCCGAGGGTTGATGCGACTGCTTTATTCCTTCTTGATAAATCCTGGGACTTCGCCCCTCATTACCCTCCAAGGACCTCCATAAAACTTGGGTTTCATCAGGGGCACTGCTTCTCCTGGGTGATCTTCCCAATATTTCTCCTGTTTGGCAAAAAGCGTATAGGAATTCAGATAAAAGTCTTGGAGTTCGCGTTGATATTTCAATGAAATCAAGACTAGTGAACGTCAAGGAAATGTCATCCCATTGTTAATTTAAGCCCATGAAGAGAAGGAAGCATTCACTCTGCCAAAAGACAAATTCTCGCAACTACACTCCTCAAATATGATGAACCGATCAAATTTAAAAGATGTTGCTATCTGGACACATACTCGTAATAATTTTCTATTGCTACAATGAGAAGGCATGAACTGAAGCATGGGACATGGAAGTAAGGATTATAACTTGAAAAAATGAGACTTATTTTAATCTCACAAACATTCTGATTCCACATGAGATACCAAGAAAAATACGACAAAAACAAAAATCATACGGAGCTCAAACCATTTTTGAGGTAAGGACATTTGCTAAAACATCACCACACTCAACACATTACCCGCAAAGCTTCAATTGAGTGAAAAAGCGGAAACAACTTTATAGACCACAAAAAAGTAGTTAGTTCAGAAAGCAACAGATAGGAAGAAGAGCAACCTTATAGAGTTGTTCCGTGATAGCTGCTCCAATTACTCCGGTGTAAAAAGCAGAGACATAGATTACAACTAGGGGGGTGAAGGTCTTAGGACGCCTATAAGGCTCAAGCATGTCCCAGAGGATAGTCTTTTCCCATTTGTGCCACAAATGATCTGCATATTTTCTCCACAAATACGATGCCATCTTCAAATTATCCTTTCTATCACCTGAATGAAGAGAAAAAAAGGAAAAACAGGGAAACTATCCCAGTTAATATCCCTACTCAGACAATTTTACAAACAGGTTGAGTGCTTCACTATTTTTAACTACTGAAATGCCCAACAACGTGACCTAACATGCCATTTTCTGCAAATCAAATTCTAAGACAAAAGGGGAATTCGCATTTACAGAATTTTGGATCATTGGAACTCAGAAATAAAGGTTTAATTCGCCTCACCTGGCGGTCTTCGTCACTCGTCGGAGATTTGCGATCGGTCAGGCGTCTCAAACTTTCCGGTTAGACCGCACTAGAAGCTAGCCCTCTCTTTTAGTTTGTTGATAATTTTGGGCTAATAAGCAAAAGCACTCTTGAGGAGGCCCATCATATAGGTTTGGACTAGACTTGTGACACAATAAGTATTGTGGCCCATGTTTCCGATTTCATTTTTTTCTTTTCTTGGTGCCCTTTTTTCTCCCTTGCCTTGTGTCTTCAGTTTTCATTTACTTTAATCATTTGTGATTCATGATTTGATACTAATTTTGTTTGGCATTATATCAATATGCACTAAACATTCTACAACTTGTGAATCATTGTACCCATTCCATCTACATCTTTAATTACTTTGCCCAGAAGAGTCGTTTGCTGAATCAGAAAAATTAATATCAAATGTGTATTAATTTTGAAGTAGTAACATGCTACCAGCTTACATTAAAATTAATACATATACATATTACCTTTGATATCTTCATTTGGTCTAAATTTACCGTAGCAACAATGTACACAACAACATATATACTGTATTACTCCCTTCGTCCAAGAAAAATAGTCCACATTAAATTTTCAAATTTGTATTAGTTTTTGGGACGTAAGTAATATTATTTTACTTTTTCCAGCGTCTAAGCTAGAGATATATTCCGCCTTGTTCACCTAACTTCAACAAAGTATATTACTTCCTCTGTCCCAAAAATTATTGTCCAGGTTGGGTTTTCATAATGTATTTTTTTTTTTACCAGATGATACATTTATGGTTCATAGTATTTATTGTCAGTACGATGTTCCAATAGAAAATTATGCATACAGTTAACCAAAAAAAAAAAAAAAGAAAGAAAGAAAATTATGCATACATCACTTTCAGCCTAGGTTCAACTAAACCGATGCTTTGAGGGATCTCCAAAAAGTCCACTTAGGCAGGCACAGATGAAGGACAAGGACCACTTATATATTGCGGATCCAAAATCGATATGTAAGATCGTCCCTGATTGAGTTTAAGAAAATATTGCAGAAATCAGCTTAAATACTTTCACTCTTTTGTGTCTTAATAAGTAGTTTATAATGATATTAGGTGTATAATAACATAGTTTATAGTGATATTAGGTGTATAATAACATTGCTTAATTGTGTAGTATATAGCAATGTCACATTAGACTTAATGAGCTATTAAGGTAATTTTAAATGTCATGAAAATCCCTCTCTTATTTAACTATTTAATAATTTTTTTTATTAACCTTTTACTATTTAATTTTTATTATTTATTATTTTCTCTTACCGAATAGTGTCAAGAATTCTTCTTACGTAAATGTCATGATAGTCATTTATGAAGGCATTTGAAATTGCCTTAATATCTGCCTTTAAATTTATGTACAAAATTTTATTTTAAAAAAATAAAAAATGAACATTTTAAGAAAATCAAAAAAATGTAAATGTAATAAAAAATTAAACTAATACTTAGTATTCAAAAAAAAGTATTATAACAACTGCACTGTATAAAATTACTACCAATATTCATGAAAGAATTGTACTTACAATTGTGCTTATAATAACACAATTATACAACCATGTCTATATATACAAACAAATTAAAAAAAATAAATAGAAAGTGAAAATCCTAAAACAAGCCAAGTTATGAATCTCATACTAAATCTATGAAAACATGAACAATTTCAAATAACGAAACTATGCCATCCATGATTACATTTGGCTTTGCAAATGCGGAGTATTAAGGGAAGGAATTTCGCTGTTCAACTGGTGTTACCTGCCAAATGAGTACTAAGTAAATTAACAATTCAAGAACATGTATATGACAAAGCAACAAAATAACAAAAGTATTGGAATTGTTAGTGCTACTTACCATAGCACATGGTCAGGCAACCAAATCACCGTGTGCATCTTGAACAGTTACATGATAATTGTAACCTTTAATCAACGGCGCATCAGAGATAATAATTACTTCAACAAGAATTTGGCACCAATTAATTCCTATTGGACGTCCACCAACTTCAATACAAGGATATAAACTATGGGCGGAGCTAGGCCCCTAACACTAGGTGGAGCAAAAATTCTCACATGAAAATATGTCTTGCAAAAGTCTAATTTTGTAACCGGTTTCTTGGTTTTTTTAAATGTTATTAGTTTTGAGGAATTGTTATATCTGTTTGATCCATCGGTCTATTTTATTTTGATGTTTCATGTGTCTTGTCTTTTTTTATTGTACAAAAAAAAAATTCACACAAAAATTCCCCTTAAGAAAAAAAGGGAATAAAACAAGACTTATGTAATAAAAACTTACAAAGTTTCTCCATATAAATAAGCCAAAATATTTTAATCACAAACAGGATGTAAGAAAGGGTATAAGAAGACAATTATTAAGACTTTCATTTATCGTTTTTTTGGTGTATTATTAAGAAAGGGTTTGGACTTTGGGCCTCGGACGTTCGGTAGTCTTTAAACTTTACAATAAAAACTAAAAACCAGAGAAATTGGTATGATAATGGGAATTCACTGTGGCACATGAAAACTAATTATGCCATTGAAAGTCAAATTTTACAGTCTTATATTATCTCCCAATAAGAGTTAATTTTCAGTTACACTTTTTGCCCTTATTTTTCCTAAATTTTACTGGGGCAAACATTGATAATTTTTGAAATTTTGGACAATATTAAGGTTAGTTGAGGAAATTTGAGTTGGGGAAATTGCCCCACCTGGATACTATGTAACTCCGCCCCTGATCTAAACTTTCAATTCGTGCTTTCGTGACAGGTTGGTTTAGGTCAGCGAAAGTTTTGAGATACACATATTGACCAACTTAGAATATAGTGACCGAAGTGAAAATAAGTAATAAGAAAAAAAAAGAGTTATAATGAGTAACTTCATTATATCAAGTAATATATATAACGATGTCGCCTTAAAAATCAAACATCATTACCCAATTTATAAGACATGACAATAATTGTAAACTAGGATAAGCAAACACAACCTTTATCAAATAAAGTGGAAGAAGAAATTCGACATTTAGGAGAAAAAAGTTCCCTAAACAGCACTCCAAAATAGAAAATTTTCGAACCTTACCCATTCAATAGATGATAAGCAAACAGTTTAATTTCTTGCACACAATAGCTCCATTAAAAACATTGAAAATACCAACACCAAATGTCCTAACTATAAAAGAGAAAATTCATGTGTAAATATTCACACAAAACAAAATATAAAACCAGCAAGTCGGATTCAAAACAGTACTTTACATTTAAAATATCATGCTTACTCTTTCTTCCAGTTTTCAATTCGGCAAAAATTAGTGTAAATAAAATTTACCTGTAGAGATTGATTAACTATAAATGAGCTTGATGATGAATTGCTTTGAAATTCAGCTTGTGAAACAAGACTCGTTCCTTGTTCCAAAATTCTTCCTTTCAACTCTCCAAGTCTATTGGTGAGGGTTATCAATTTTTTCCGTTTTTCAAGAATTATACGCCTACAAGTAATTCGCTTAGGAATTTGTCTCCACACATGGAGTAATCCCTTGACCAAAAATAAAAAAAATTTGACCAACGGACAGTCTGATCTGATGTGTCCAGCACAGTAGGGAAGCTTCTTCTACACTCTAGCTAGTTGATTACACAATTAATTTATCTTGGAGGAATAGGAGTTTGTTTGATCGTAATTACATCTAGAACAGGAATTTATAAAATTATAATTATACAGACTCAATGTCGGAAGCTACAATCCCGACTAACAAGAATTTTATACTATTCCTTCCATCCCATAATTATTGTCTAGTTTGAGTTTTATTTTTAGTTCAAATTGTACTAAAAATGAAATATCAAACTGGATAATAATTTTAGAACAGAGGAAGTATTTCTTTCACCTGACTTGAGTGCTCGCTTCAGAACTGGCCAATGTGATGATTAACAATCGAATGGTCGATTACTCTCTTTATGAAACACAAATATAAGAAAATTTAATGATAGTCATCTATGTAATGTATCAAATTTAAAACAATTTATAAAGGATAGTATGTTTGGATTAAAGTTATCGAAAAGCGGTTGATTTTAGTTTTGGGGGAATGTATGCTTCATAAAATTAAATTTTTTTAAAAAAAGTCTTACACAACGTATTAAATATATATATATAGTTTGGAAAAATTATCATTTTCTTTTATTTTTTTTAAATTTTGTTTGGTACAATGAAAGAAGATTATAGATTATAGATTATTACAGATCTTTAGTAAGATACACCAACTACATGATTATTTCAGCTTATCCGGAGGGACATTCAATCCAGTTAATACGTCATAATTGGCCGCCGCTAATGAGACTAGCTAGTAGTATGCTGTAAAATTCCGCTTCCCATAGATGTGCTTCAACTCAACTTTCCGGACCATGCTCTGTACGTAACTTCCTGGATTGCCATAACTAAGCTCCGATGCATATGGTTTTTATTTTGAAACTGAACAAAGATAGTTTGAAGAAAATGTTTCCCAGAAAAACCATCGTAATGGGATGCAGTCGACATCAGCAAAGCTGAAGGCCAGGTCCAACCTTTTTGGTATCTACTTCCATCCATTGATATTGTTATTAATTTTCATACACATATCCGAACTCGAAATCTCTAATTCGAATTTCCAAGTTCATGTACGATAGTGTTCCCATATGTCCCGAATGAGGTCAATGACTGTTTGGAATATTGTTTTTTCAGTGTGTGTTTTAAGTGTTTTTTACATTAAAAACGTATTAAAAAAAGTATTAAAAATATTAGAAAAATATGCTGATATGGGATAGATATTATTCATAAGAAATTCTGAGAAAAGACCTACTAAAAATTAAATGAACCAAACGGATTAATATGCTTCCCATATTGTTTTCCGCCGGCGGCCAGCTTACTACTCAGACCGATGAATGTTGGTGGTTCAGATTCACTCCATACCGGAGTGTTTCTACCTGGGTGGGCGCGATCCCGGAGACATTGTTGTCCAAGACTTTTCTTCCATGCACAATTATTTTACATTCTTTTTAGGTATATTGAAAGAGATAATAATCTTTTTAAACCATCACTAAACTTCCACCTTATCTTAAGCACGATTAGATGGCATTTTTGTGTATATCATGTTCATAGTCCACTTTTATTATTATCAGATTGAGAAAGAAAGAGTATAACTAGTTCAGGCAAGTGATAGGGCGTTAGCAGCTGGTGCAGTCGCCAGCCAAAAAATGACTTCCTACACAAAGACACATGTACACGACAATAATACTTAAGTGATGGCGGTATGTTACGGCTGCCCTTCATTTGATTTAAACGAATGATAAAACCCAAAGAGAAAATATTCAATTATTATATACTTTGACTGCATGAATTTTCCCTCCTTGGTACTACATTAATTTAAAAAAGTGCACATATCATCAATCACAATCAAATCTTTTTTTTTTCTTTCTTTTTTTCTCCTTTCTTCAATTGCTCAGATTTTAACCATTGATCTAGTAATCAAATTTCTTTTACTCTTACGATTAATCACAAAATATCAGTTTGTCCTGGAGCCACATTTGTTCAACGATTATATTGTTAAATAAGACATAATTTTAAGTTTTTATATTTTTTTATGATAGGGAATGAAATTGCTCCATAATTCCAAAAAATGACACTGAACTACTACTATAAAAAGGCTAGAAGTTAGATATTCCATACTCACTCACAAGTCACACAACTCACTCAAATCAGCATAAAGAACTGCTTTACCAAATTTCCAGTCAATCAATATGGAGAGCATCACAAAAACCCTTGTGCCAAATGCTCATGAAAATAAAAATGGAGGTGATCAGAAGGCTAATTACTTCTCGCAAGCAATTCATCTGGTCACTTCTGCTTCATTGCCTATGGTTTTGTACAATGCTATCAAATTAAACCTGTTCGAAATCATCGCCAAATCTACTAGCCATGGAGAGAAATTATCACCGGCCCAGATTGCATCCAAACTTCCTACTAAAAACCCTGATGCGGCTTCCATGATAGACAGAATGCTTCTCTTACTGGCCACTTACTCTGTGTTCACTTGTGATGTTGTTGAAGTCGCTTGTGAGGATGGAGTTAAGTATGAAAGAGTTTATGGGTTATCTCCAGTAGGGGAATTCTTCGTGCCGGATGAGGAAGGCAACACAATTGCCTATCTGGCAAAAATGCTCCAAGACAAAGTTTTTATTCACAGTTGGTAAGTTGAATATATGGATTTTTCTTTTCCTCTCTCCGTCCCGAAATCACTGTCCATTTTGGATTTTCATTTTTAATACAAATTGAACTAAAATCGAAAATTCACATTGGAAAATAATTTTGAGACAGAGAGGGAGTATCTTTCTTTTTATATTTACACTCCTTCTGTCCGACTACCTGATTAATCTGGATTCAGAGCGGCCAGATAAATATGTTTAGCTCTCAAATGTCTGATTGAATATACATAAATATGCAGGTATGAATTGGATAATGCTATTCTCGAAGGAGGTGTACCATTCGATCGGGTTTATGGCATGAATCAATTCGAGTACAATGGAACAGATCCAAGATTCAATGAACTATTCAATAAGGGATTGACTGGTTTAACTTCCACCACAATGAAACACCTGCTTAATGAGTATGAGGGATTTGAGGGCCTCAATACTTTGGTTGATGTTGGTGGCGGTTTTGGAGTAACTCTCCATAAGATTGTGTCAAAATACCCTCAAATTAAGGGCATCAATTTCGATCTTCCACATGTTGTTGAGAATGCACCATCTTATCCTGGTATACTTTCATTATAAAACTTTTTTCTTTACTTTTTTTCCTTTAAAAATCAATAGTGATTTAATTCCTACTTACTCATATAATGCGACTTGAACATGTGAGGTAATCTTAGTACTGAATTCAAATTAATAATCTCTATTATCACTATATATCTTGATAATCTAATTAGATGCATGTTACACTTGAAATATTTGATGTAGGTGTTGAACACATTGGAGGAGACATGTTTAAAAGTGTGCCAAAAGGAGACGCCATATTCATGAAGGTAAAAAGGAGTTGCTTACATGGAACTTTGTCCAATGCAATTAATTATTAAAAGGTTGCTTGGAAGGACAAGTGACAAGTCATCTAAAGTCTAATTGAAAGTGAAATATATAGTCTTGCATTTGCATTAATTAATCGTGGATGGTCAAAATGCTGTACAATTAGCCACAATTTGATTCTAAGGAATTAATGAGTGATCCAACTACGTACTTTGTATTTTTTACTACCTTATAAATAGTTAATCTATCGGTAACACATTGCAGGGTGTTATTCATGATTGGGGCGATGGTCAATGTTTAAAATTGCTCAAGAATTGTTTTGAAGCTCTACCGGACAATGGAAAAGTCATCGTGATTGATTTTATTCTGCCATTGAAACCTGATACCACTGTGTTTGCAAGAACTGTTTGCCAGACAGATAACCTCATGATGGCAGTGAATCCCGGAGGAAAAGAACGTCCCGAAGTTGAATTTCAGGCATTGGCTATCGGAGCTGGATTCAAGGGCATAAAACTAATAAGGCGTCATGGCGGGAACATTGGGGTCATTGAAATGTATAAATAGATTATTATAAAGAGAAAATTAACCCCCTAAGAGTACAAAATAAAGAGTCCAGCAGGACGTAGGGTTGTGCTAGCTGGAATGATTAAACGATGAATTTGTAACATGAGGCGATTGATGGTTTGAATCTCGTCAAAAACTAGTATTCATAAAAGTATTCAGATTAGTCCATCTTAATGCTAAATGTTTAGATTTAGTTCAAGAAAAAACTCATTAAGGACGTTATAATTTATGAGTTTTGAAAATCTAAAAATAAAGGTTTCAACATTTTGGAATTTCTTTCATATATAAGCGTAGAGATGTTGTAATAGATTAAATATGATTTTATTTTCGCTGGCGTTATCTACAAAGGTGGAGGTATAAAAAATATTGTCGATCTTCCATTTGATGTAAGATCAGATTATACGTACGAAAATTCAAACCAAAAACATTTTTATGTGATGTTGTGAATGTAGCACACAAACTATAAAAGTCAGTCAAAGAAAAATTTGACGCTAAAAAGACAAATTAAGGATACTAATTAATTTATTATGGGTATAAAAAAAAAAACTTGACTTGCTTCTCGGGATCTGATAATTTGTCGTTCAGGCTCCCCAAACAAATTGTGATACGAGACTGATTTACATTTTCCAGACATAAGTTTAAGAATTCGAGAGGTATTATATCAAGTTATGACTTCACCGTGATATTATTGCCAAAGTGGTTTATATAGCTGTGTACTTTGCTTAGGTTTATAGCCTACATTTTTATCATAAAAATTACTTTCTTTGTTCAAAAAAGAAATAGTTTGTATTATTAATCTTAAAACTTAATATGGATAATTCGTTTGGAAGAGAAGTAGTACTCCCTCCTTCCGGTCCTTAATATAAAAGATTTTGAATTTTGTCCTAAGTTTCACCTAGTACGCATTTTTAATTAACGGAAAAATCTTAAAAATATATTTTCACAATCCTTGTATTTTCTTATAAAATAGTTTTAAAGTTTTTTTGTCAATTAAAAATACGTACTAAGTTAAACCCAAACCAAAATACTTTATATGAAGGACCGGAGGGAGTATTATTCCTCCAGGAAAATCTTCTTACTTAAAAAAAAAAAAAAAAAAAAGTAGGTACTGACTATGTCTATGTGTGTAGTCGAGCGTTCCGCTCAAACTGTTTGATGACCTTGACGGATCAATATTTGGTGGTCTACTGGTGTGTTAGAAAAAGAGAAGTTATAATATCGCGCATGAATCAATAATTTTTTACTAATTAATACCTTAATCTTAACTTTGATCTATCAACCTTAATCGCATCATCTGATCATCTTAATCTAATTGAATACCAATATACATACATCACCTTCATTGAAAAATATTCTTCCTTGTTCAACATATACAATTTTTTCCCCCCAACAACATCTGAGTGTGCATTTTCTTTTCTTGTTCATGTCTTCTAACTTCAGTACTTATAATTAGTTAATTTCAACTAAAAATGATACGTACATACATTACTCCACATAGATTTCACTTTCTCCCTATAGGGAAAAAAAATGTTACTTAAGGAAGCTCCACAAAGTCCACTTTGGCAGCTTAGAAAATGAGATGGAGCTAGCTAGCGCAAGAACTAAGGCAGCAAACGACCAATTTAAGGATTAAAATTAGGAGAACATCACCTTTACGCAACTATATGACACTTACAAATCGAGAAATAAGAACAGTGCAAAAAAATCAGTTTAAATAAGACATATTCCATCCCAATTCATCAAATACTAGTAGTTAAAAAGTTTGAATGTTATAATTAAGGACTTCCTCAGAGACCAATTTTCTTTTTTATTGGTACCTGGTGGAATCAATGTTTTATTATTCATTGTAATTATTCTTTTCATCCAATTTTAATAGTTTATTTTATTCAACTAAGATAAAGAGAGTAACACTTACTCGAACAAGTGCCACAGAGAACCTAGAACAAGCTAGCTTGAGGGTATCAATTTTTTTTTCCCCTCTCATTGTGTATTTTATTAAATTGATGATGAAGAATTTTAACATTGTACTCTGGAATCTGTTAAATCATTGTGTAAGAGACATAACCATCAGTTGATTGGTCTTAATTATCTATATAAACAACTTGTTTATTTGGACTCGTTGTCGTAATATACGTTTTTTTTTTTTTTTTTTTTTTGTAGAATGCAGCTTGTCATCTAATTAAAATCAAAAGTTTCCTTATTTTCCAGTCTTCTAATTGATTTGGATCAGCGATTCAGGGGTTTTACTAATCGTAATTGGCAACTAAAACTCTAGTAAACATATTACGTGCACAGATGACCCCAATCATCATGAACGTCATTTTCTCATTTTCTCATCTAAATTAACAGCACACTATCACATCATTATTATCCTTGTTTATATTCTACTGCGCCTAAACAACTTTATTACATATAATACATTTTGTTTCCAATTGGCTAGCTCCGAGTTTCCAACTTAACATAAGTAGTTACTTGACATTTCACAGTCTAGATTCTAGAATGATTGGTATTTGAAACGGCACTAAAAAATTTTAAAAAATTTCTATCTTGTTATTCCACAATAATAATTTAATTTTTTGCACTAGTCATTTAATATAACAAATTATTTTGGGACGAAAAGAATATAATTACAAAACAGTAATGACTGTAAACGAAATATTTTTGTCGGGGCGAATTACACTCATCTTTTCTAGCTATGAAAAAGAAATGCAGTGGAGAACCCTTCTAGAAATTGTTATTTGCAGCCCTCAAGTACGAAAAAGAGTAGGCTTAATTTGACTGCTATTCCTTTGCCATCTGCAAAATTCCACAATTTTCGCAGATTTAGAGAAAGGAAAACTACAGTAAAAAAAAAAAACAAGAAACATATTATGTGATGGACACCGGTACTCCAAGTAGCTAACATTTCATCCTTCGTTTTATCTCCAAAAAAATATCGAGTTTGTTGAAATAGTATTATTCTTCAACAGACGTGACCCATTTTCGTTTCATTTGTTGGGTGGGACACTGAGAGAGAGTCCGATATATTTCAAAAACCTTCTAACTTTCAGTACTGGTGGCTATATACAGCATTCATCAATGAGATTGAGGTCTTAGTACTGCTTGAATAATGAGGTGCCGCCAAAGTACAACAAGCAAATTCAAAGAAATGATGCCGATCTATAACTATAAAAAGGACTACAACTTACGCACTTCACTCACACTCACTCACAACTCACAAGCAGAACCACCACCAAAAAAAAAAAAAACCATATTTGCAATCAATGGAGAGCATCACAAAAACCCTTGTCGCAAATGCTCATGAAAATCAAAATGGAGGTGATGAGAAAGCTAATTACTTCTCACAAGCGATTCATCTGGTCACTTCTGCTTCATTGCCTATGGTTTTGTACAATGCTATCAAATTAAACTTGTTCGAAATTATCGCCAAATCTACTAGCCGTGGAGAGAAATTATCACCAGCCCAAATTGCATCCAAACTTCCTACTAAAAACCCTGAAGCTGCTTCCATGCTTGACAGAATGCTTCTCTTGTTAAGCACCTATTCTGTGTTCGCTTGTGATGTTGTTGAAATTGCTTGTGAGGATGGAGTTAAGTATGAAAGACTCTATGGGCTTTCTCCAGTTGGGGAATTCTTCGTTCCAGATGAGGAAGGCAACACAATTGCCTACCTTGCAAAAATGCTCCAAGACAAGGTTTTTATTGACAGCTGGTAAGTTGATTAATTATATGTATATTTAGTTACTTGTTATTGTGACAGAGATAGTGATTATGACAAAGTGTTTTTTTTTTTCCTTTCCTTTATTAAAAGTGATGTGTCCCTCATGAGTGATCAATTTTCTGATATTAGATTTGTCATAAAATTTTGATGAATAAGTATGAAGTGTCACATGTGTCACTGTCTATATCATTACTCTGTTGAATGTAGACAAATCGTTTATCGTGCTACCAGCTGAAAGCTTAATTTACATCTGATTATGGAATTTTTTAGGTATGAATTGGATAATGCTGTTCTCGAAGGAGGTGTAGCTTTTGATAAGGTTTATGGCATGAATCAGTTCGAGTACAATGGAAAAGATGCCAGATTCAATGAGCTATTCAACAAGGGATTGACTGGTTTAACTTCCACCACAATGAAACACTTGCTTAATGAGTACGAAGGGTTTGAGGGCCTCAACACATTGGTTGATGTTGGTGGTGGTTTTGGGGTGTCTCTTCACAAGATTGTATCAAAATATCCTCAAATTAAGGGCATCAACTTCGATCTTCCACACGTTGTTAAGAATGCACCGTCTTATCCTGGTAAATTAACTTTTACCCCATGATAAATTTGTCAAATGATCTTGTTACCATAATGAATCAGTCATCATGATTTGATTAAGTATTCTCACTTGTAGGAGTTGAACACATCGGAGGAGACATGTTTGAAAGTGTGCCAAAAGGAGATGCCATATTCATGAAGGTAAATAAAGGGAGATAATTAAATAAGCGCACTGGTTTTTACTCTTTTCGTCTTAAAAAAAAATTAATTTATTTTACTACATACTACTTTTTACAGGGTGTACTTCATGATTGGGGCGATGATCATTGCCTGAAACTGCTCAAAAATTGTTACAAAGCATTACCAGACAACGGAAAAATGATCGTAATTGATTTTATCCTACCCTTAAAACCTGATACGAGTGTTTTTTCAAGAACCGTTTGCCAAACTGATAATCTCATGATGACGGTGAATCCCGGAGGAAAAGAACGTCCGGAAGTCGAATTTCAGGCACTGGCTATCGGGGCTGGATTCAAGGGCATTAAACTAATTAGGCGTCATGGCGGGAACATTGGGGTCATTGAAATGTATAAATAGATTACTATATCATTACCGCCCCAAAAAGAGAGAATTAAGAGTTTGAAAGGTAAGAGCGGAAGATTATAATCACGAAATTTAGTCAAATTTTTGTTGGGAGGAATCCATATGATCACAGTTTTATGATATTTACGTACGAGCATTTGAATAAAGGTCCAAGGCCGGGGTTTATAGTTTAGCTATTTACCTCAGTCCAACCAAACCAAAAGGTATTTATAATCAATGTATTATTTGCTTTTTCGAAATGAAGATACACTTCGAACTAATCTTTTTTTCCCCCTTCTGTACGTCCATTGTTATTTATCATTCGCACTTTACCCTTGTTAATTCTCACTCCAGATATTTTAAAAATTTATTTTCTA